TGTGGGAAAATTCCAGCACTGAATGCCTCTGGGTGTGAGGGAACAGAGCGAGTGTATGTATAGCATCCCAGTTTCAAACACTTCAATATTTCCTTAGGCCTTCATCCCTAACCCAAGATTCAGGTCCTATCTTAGAATGATTCCCGTTCTACAGGCAGAGGCTTGCAAGAGGATGGGAGGCCAATGGCCTTATAAAGGAGGAACTTTAGGCCAAGCAAACAAACACCTTTAGGCAGGAAAAAAGAACCATTCCTGGAAGAAGAAAATAAGGTTGGGGGGGGGGGGGGGAACGGGACTGTTTGGTGATGGCGGAAAGGCATTCTTGTTTATTACTGAGGTTGAGGTTAGTAATGGTAATGAGCTGCAAAGGGCGAGGAGATTGCAGGCACAGTGCAGTCTCTTCTCGAAGAGGCTTCTCTGGAGGAGCCAAGGGCTCCCTAACTTGGCCATGTGTAGGAAGAATAAAATAAAGACCTTCCTTCCCTTCCTTTCTCTTTCTTTGAGAGCACCAGAAAAAGGGAAACCTTGTAACATTTTATCACCACCTCTCCACTCTCCTGCTTCTGTTCTCCCTTCCCCTCTTTAGTTTATTAACATATTCTGCTCTTTGGTCTTTGCGCTTTGGAGGAGAAGACAATCTCCTCTTTAGGAAAGAGCAGAGTTCCTCAAGCTATTACCCAACCCTGTCCTCACACACTCTGTGACACCAGAGTGGATCCAGATTCTCTTGCCTACTCCATGGAATTTTCCTTCTATCTTCAGCCTTTCCAAGTCTCCTCTTCCTTGGTCCTGGGTATTTGATCCCATGAATCTCTGGGAGCTTAGAGGCCAAGAACACCTTGAGGTCCTTCATTAACTCCCCCAGAGAGTCTAGAAACTTTCCTCAATTCTGAGGGCACCAGGCCAGGGAACTCTCTATAAACCTAGCACAGACTAATTTCTAAGTCTTTTCAGGTCACATTTAGGCTCCTTTAAAAGTCTTCCTTCCAACATGGAACTTTAGGTTTTAAACCTCCAGCAGAACGAGCTTCCTGAATCTACAGGTCAGATTTTCCAAAAACAATAATATTAATAAAAAGTAATGCATCAGTGAGAGAAAGGGATATCTCAATCCAAATTTTAAAGAGTATATAATCCAGCAGGGTTGGATGGGAATGGGGTGTGTGTATGGGGGGGGGGGGCGTGGAGAGAAATCACTGAAGCTGGGATGAGCCAAGAGGGTGGGGGAATCCAACCTCTAACTAACAATTTCTCCAGCATAAAAATGAAACATCAAATTCGTTAGCCCAGGGCCTTCATTTTTCCCCTTCCACATTATAACTAGTTATTGAACTCGCTGGAAGATCTAAAGGCCATTTGCGAAGAGACAAATTTCAATGGAGTTTCCCCATCAATAACCCCATGGCAGTGACCTATTGGAACAAGTCAAACACCCGAGGTGAAATGCAGGTCACTCTGTCTAACCAATATTAAAATGCGGCCACTTTTTAAAAAGCCACTTTAAACGAGATTTGAGGAAAATTGAATTCCAAGGAAGCCAAGGCAAGGTGGGGGAAATACACGAGAGGACCTTGACTATGGTCTCCCAACAAACAAGAAAAATTCATCTTTAATATTTTAAAGGGGGGCAAATTAACATTCTATGATTGCTTTTTTTTTTTTTGAGACTATAAGCAATTTCAGGAGGAAAAAAAGGTTGAGTATTTTCTGGTGACATGTCCGGGTTATTAAAATCATTTTAGACCAATTCATTACTTTTACTGACAAGAGATTTAAGGAAAAAAATCAATTAAGCATTTGCATATTCTTTTGCATACATTAGCCCTGCCTGCTGGCATTAGGAAGGGACAAAAACACACATATACTCATGTACACACAGATACACGCACAAAGGAAAAAAAATGGTTTGAGTCTTGTTTCAGTTTGGGGGTTTTTAAGTTGCCCCAGGGAGAAAAAAAATCAAAATGAAATGAATTGCCTGATTGCATACCATCTCAAAGTCAATTTACTTGAGGAACAAGGAAAGAGACATGTTGTAATTTTTAATCCTTAAAGCAACAACAACACATACACATGCAAAAAGAACACTGCACTTTGGAGAGTAGGGAAGGAATGACCCTCATTTTCCTTTTTTTTTTCTTTCCAAATCTTGATTTGGTTCTTCCATTTATTTTTTCTCCCTCAGAAAACCCAGAGAGTATGAGAGGTGAGATTTTTTTTTTTTAATGCAGCACAGAATCTGTGGAGCCGCTGAGCTCTCTCAGCCGGCAGCTTGTTACTGGGAAGGGGTGGGGGGAATATGGGTTATCCAACGGTCAGTATGGTAATCTGGACACAATAAGGCCTCACACACAATGGACACATATTTTTCTTCAGTGGTGTCAGAAGGGAAGCGCTTTGTACTGAAACATGTTTCCGAAAGAGAAACCAGATCGAGATTTAGAAAGGAGTGGGGTGTGGGATGTCGTGTGGAGGGAATTTGGATGCTAGCAAAAGATAGAAAAAAATGTAAAAATAAAATTGGGACAGAGTGAAGTGGGGAGGCAGTGGGGAGGTGGAGGACTTTTGGCTGTCAAGGAGGCTGGCTGGAGAAGCACAAAAGAGAGGACCAGATACTAAGGTTCATCATAAGCAAGTATCCCCAGCCTATTATCATTAAGCCATTGCTAAATACTGGAGCCCCCTGATAGGATTTGGTTCCCATGCTTGTAATAATGTCCAGGTAAAAATGTTTGTGTGTATATGTGTGGAGAAGTATTTTACCCATGCAATAGGTTGCTTCCTTGCCAGCAAGCTGTAAGAGCCCAAAGATAGCTTTATGTTGTTGGTTTGGGAATTTGTTTTTTATTGATGTAGATTAATATGTGAGCACACTTGGAAAAATCTTCTAGATTTCACTTCCTGAATCTCTATGTTAAAAAAATTTTTTTGCTGTACAAACCTTTGGTGGAAACCCCATGTACTTAGGGCTGCAGCAGAGGTATTTAGTAGTTTGGTAAATATGAGTACCATGTATGCATATCTATTGAGAACCATAATAACCAAAGAAAGACTAGACCTTTAGTGGAAAGCATCTGAGCCCTCTGTGTCTACTCACTCAGACTTGCCCCAAAAGGGTCTCCTGACCCACTTGCAGCAGCTTAGAAACCTGGGAGGATGGGTCATATCTTAGGAAGGGCACCCTAATTAGGCCATGGTGGTGAGAGTTGAAGAAAAGAGGGTTGAGACTGGGAGCAGGGCTATAGAAAGAAGGTAGAAGGGAGCAGGGCCGGGAGGGAAAGAGCCAGCAGGCAGCTCACCTTTCCAGGTGGAGAAAAGAATATTCCCATCTGGGCCAGGTAGGGCTGCCTCCTTCAGGTGTTGGCCTAGAAAGGAGATTGGGAGTGAGGCTACAATAGCCTTCCCCTCTCTTACCTATATTCTCTGCCTTTTCAGAGCTGTCTGGAGCTATGGATCTCCCCCATGGGGTAATCTGGGGCTATCCTTTAGATATGTGTAGCTCAGGATTTAGTACTGACTTCCCTGGGTCCAATTCTAGCAACTTGCAATATATCCGTTCCCCCCACCCCAAACAATTACAAAGAAAATGAAAAACCTTCACACCATTTCCCAGCATCTCCAACCAAACAGCTGCCTTCCCCTTTGCTCACAGCCTCAAGTTCCTCTACCAACCAAACAGCTTCTCACTCCTCACATTCAGGGGGTCCCCAGAGCAAGGGTCTCCCATCTACTCTAGGAGTGTGACATCTGTAAGAAATTTGGGGGGGCCCTACAGGGAACTACTGTTCCCTCATTCTGCCTATGATAGGGGATCCTATCCTCTGGGGAGGGGGAGATGATAGAAGACACCCCCCCATAGGCTGGGCTGGGTGGGGGTTAAGCCCCAAAACAGGGCAGGCAGCCAGGGGCATCTTGGGGCATCTCCTGTGGCCCAGGCACCTTCTCACTATAGCCTTCAGGATGAGCCCTAATTTGAATGCGGGGGGGGACCCTCTTTCACATCCCTAGGTTGTGAGAGGAGGTTGGGAAACTACTGCTTTCACCCTCCCTCTGTCAGGGCTTTATATATATATATATATTTTTTTTTTCCTTTCCCCTCCTCATTCACTTAATTGCAGATGTTCTAATTAAACCCTCAAATAGTTGTTATGCCGTTTTAAAAGGTACTTATTCAAGTGTCAACCAGGCTGGGCTGGGAGGAGGCAGCAGAGGGCGGCGAATTAAAGGTAGATTGACTAATCACGGCGGCGATCATAATAATAAAATCAGAGGGGAAAAAAATCACATTACGACTTTTCGTGGAAAGGAGGGAGCAGGCAGGCAGCGGCCGCCAGCCCTGCGCCGCCGCCGACACAAAGAGTGCGGGCGATTCCCCGAGACTGATTTATGACGTTTTACAGCCCTATAAAAGCTGTAGCGACGAGGCAAGCGCTCCTACCACCGCTGGCAGATTTAGTCTAATAAATAAAACATAAACAGTTAACTTTATGTGTCACTTTTATTGTTATCAAGTAAAATATAGCCAAGCCTGGGCAAGCTATGATTTTAAACTATAATTGTTATCAAGTACAACAAGGGGACCTAGCTCCCTCCCTGGGCTTTCCCTTCTGCTGCACCCCCCTACCTCCCTACCCCGTCCCCCCCAACTCTGACTTATGGATGATCAGTTAATTGGAATCAGTAGCATGACGTGACCACCCCTAGCTGAGGGAGGGGAGCTGAGAAAGCAGCCCTTCTTTGCTCCCTCCCTCCCCTGTGACCCTGCTTCCCCCCCCCCCAAAAAAAAATCCTGGGTATTTCCTGTGAGTGGGTAGCAGAGGGAGAGGGTGGGTATGAGGCCTGCCCCCCCAGGTCTGCTTTGCCTCCCGATCTCTGTGACCTCACCCCTCCTTTTTGGAAGACAGCCTAGAGTTGGCCCTGGGGAATATGTGTTTACATGTAAACACACGTGTTACATAGATACATCCCTGGCTTGAAGCAAGTAGGCTCTACCCACACAGGCCTTACTCTGCTCTAGATCTACTCTTTATGGGGATGGACAAAAGAAGAATTCTCAGGGCTTTGGCTGGGCACCATCACAGGGCACTGACAGGGCAGAAAGCGCCCTTCTTTACCAGAGCTTCTTAGAGCCAGTCTGGAAGGTAGCTGTCAGCCACAGCAGGACAGGCAGCCTGAAGAGTGGAAAGGCAGCAACAGCAGAGGTCCTGCAGTGCTCTGGGGCAGGGGCAGGGGCAGGGAGGGTCAGTGGGTAGCCAGGGGGAGGCGAGGCTTCTCTGTACTCTGCTTTTGCCAACCACTTCCTGTCTCTCTTCAGAGGGGCCACAACCCCCAGACCTCCAGAAATGACGTCAGAATCATTTGCATCCCGCTGCCTCTACCTGCCTGGTCCAGCTGGGACCCTGCCTCGCCTGCCCCAAGGCCAGAGGGTTGGGTGAGTGTGTAGGGAAGGGGGAGGCTGGACCATTGGATGTGGGGGGCTACCCCAGGCTCTTCAGCCTCTTGGGCTCAGCCTGGGGCCCTCTCCATCCAACCTCCACTCCAGTCCTCATCCAACTTCCTCTTCCTGCGAAAGAGGGGCGCTGCCCGGTGACCTACACAAGCTGAAACAGGCTCGCCATGAATGGAAAGCGCTGGAAAATCATTGGAGCCAAGGCCCACCGGGCCCGCTGGAGGCCGGCGAGGAGAGACCCCTGGATGGGGGCTGAATCACAGTCTCAGGCCAGCACCCCTCCCACCTCCTCATCCCAGTGCCCAGGCTTTTGGAGGGCAGCTGGGAGCTTCTCATCTCCTTTTGCAGAGAAGGGTTGTCAGTCTGGTGGGGTGTGTACTGGTGGGTACCCCCAGCACCCCCTACCAGCTATTCCCACCTCACACCCCCCCACCCCCACCCACAGCAACAGCAGCAGCACCACCACACACACAAAAAATTGGATACATTTTGAATAAAGCGATTCGGTTCCTTATCCGGGGACTGGGTTGCTCCGTGTGATTGGCCGGCGGAGTCACATGGTGAAAGTAACTTTACAGGGTCGCTAGCTAGTAGGAGGGCTTTATGGAGCAGAAAAACGACAAAGCGAGAAAAATTATTTTCCACTCCAGAAATTAATGATCATGAGCTCGTATTTGATGGACTCTAACTACATCGATCCGAAATTTCCTCCATGCGAAGAATATTCGCAAAATAGCTACATCCCTGAACACAGTCCGGAATATTACGGCCGGACCAGGGAATCGGGATTCCAGCATCACCATCAGGAGCTGTACCCACCACCGCCTCCGCGCCCTAGCTACCCCGAGCGTCAATATAGCTGCACCAGTCTCCAGGGGCCGGGCAATTCGCGAGGCCACGGGCCGGCCCAGGCGGGCCACCATCACCCCGAGAAATCGCAGCCGCTCTGCGAGCCGGCGCCCCTCTCAGGCGCCTCCGCCTCCCCTTCCCCAGCCCCGCCAGCCTGCAGCCAGCCAGCCCCCGACCATCCCTCCAGCGCCGCCAGCAAGCAACCCATAGTCTATCCATGGATGAAAAAAATTCACGTTAGCACGGGTAGGCAACTTTGCTTTTTTGCTCCCTACCCTCCCTCCCCTCTTTTTTTTTCCCGGCGCTCCCCACCCTCTCTGGCCCCCTCCGGCCCCCTGTCCTCCTTTCTCTCCTTTCCCCCTCTCTCTCTCTCCAGGAGCGACTCTGGGTTAGCACAATTGAACTGGATTTACGAGCGAGAATGGGTAATTACATCCCCCATAAATTTTATGGCTTAGCTACTCTGGGCAGTCCGAGCCATGTGCTACGATCTGTTATGTATGTGTGAAAACTATGCTCGCTTTCTAAGGGCGCATAAATAATTCAGTGTCGTTACAATGAGGATTCCCCTCTTATTACACTACAAAGTCTCCAGCTTCCTTCAACTTCTTTATAACCCATTTAGGTTGATGACTTAATTCTCACCAATCCCTCCTCCTGTTCCTCAAAGCTGAGGATGGGGTGGAGGGTGGGGGGGCGGGGAACCTGATGCCTCTGAACCCCACTATTTGCTTTCCCCCATTCCCCCCTCCCTCCCCCCAGTGAACCCCAATTATAACGGAGGGGAGCCCAAGCGCTCGAGGACAGCCTACACTCGGCAGCAAGTCCTGGAATTAGAGAAAGAGTTTCATTACAACCGCTACCTGACCCGAAGGAGAAGGATCGAGATCGCCCACTCGCTGTGCCTATCTGAGAGGCAGATCAAAATCTGGTTCCAAAACCGTCGCATGAAATGGAAGAAGGACCACCGACTCCCCAACACCAAAGTCAGGTCAGCGCCCCCGGCGGGCGCTGCGCCCAGCACCCTCTCGGCAGCCACCCCGGGCACTTCTGAAGACCACTCCCAGAGCGCCACGCCGCCGGAGCAGCAACGGGCAGAGGATATTACCAGGTTATAAAACATAACTCACACCCCTGCCCCCACCCCATGCCCCCATCCTCCCCCCACACACAAATTGACTCTTATTTATAGAATTTAATATATAAATATATATTTTTGGTTCTTTTTCTCTCTTCCTCCTGCCTCCTCCCTTGTTAATTCCAAACAGACAAAAACAGATAAACAAACAAGCCCCCAACCCTTCTCTCCCTTCCACTGTTAAAGACCCTTTTAAGCATGTGATGTTTTAGCATGGTACCTGCTGTTTTGTTTTTATTTTTAAGGCCATTTGGGGAGGGTTATTTATTTTTTAAGGGGAAAAAAAAAGCTGCAAGAATTATATATTGCAAGGCACGATGGTCTGTCTGGTTTGGGGGAATTTCAGGAGAAATGAGGAAAAGAAAAAAGGAAAGGGAGATTTTTAAGCCAATTCTCCTCCTCCTCCTCCTCCACCTCCTCCTCCTCCGCGCCCCCCCCCCCCCTTTCCTTAGGCCTTTTGCATTGAAAATGCACCAGGGGAGGTTAGTGAGGGGGAAGTCATTTTAAGGAGAACAAAGCTATGAAGTTCTTTTGTATTATTGTTGGGGGGGGGTGGAAGGAGGGGGGAGGACAGAAGACAAAGCTAAATGCATCTGGAGAGCCTCTCAGAGCTGTTCAGTTTAAGGAGCCAAAAGAAAATCAAAATGAACTTTCAGTTCAGAGAGGCAGTCTATAGGTAGAATCTCCCTGTCGCCCCTCCCAACATTCCCATCATGGTTATTGTGTTTTTGGACTGAATTTACTTGATTATTGTAAAACTTGCAATAAAGAATTTTAGTGTCGATGTGAAATGCCCCGTGATCAATAATAAACCAGTGGCTGTGAATTAGTTTTACGTCAATGTCTGATGGTTTCTTTTTCTTCCTTTCCTTCTGGCCTGGTAACATCCTACCTTCTATATAGTTGCCTAAGTTTACTCTAAGCAAACACATAAACCTTAACTTTTAACTTCAGCTTTCCAGTGTCTTTAAAAGAACCAATCAGGAAGGAGTCTGGAGTAAGGGATATGGAAAATTGTGGCTAAATTCTTGTGTCTCCTCTCTCTGAGTCTGCAGAGAAGCCAGATTTGGGGGGTGAAGCTTAGGGGTGGGGGAGATGTCCTCACTTTTCCATAGTTAGACACAGACTTTTCACTTCTCTTTCCTTCTCCTTTCTCTCTGTCCAGTAGGCCTGTCTAATCTGTAGACTGGAAGGCAAATTGAGGGAATAGAAAGGAGAAAAGTTTTCCTCTCAGAACTCCTTGGGATGAAAAGATTGTAGAAGATGTCCCACTCCTCCATTTGCATTCTCCTTAAAAGAAGAAAGGTTTTGAGTTGATGATTCTGAAGCAGCCAAGTGACCTGTCAGGATGCCATCTCTGTTTGTTTAGACTTGGAAAAAAAAGGGTGAAGTGGAGGCCAGAGGCCTGGGAGGCCCCCTTGCATGAGTAGGCCTCAAAGGCTAATGCCAGGAGATAATGAAGGACTTTCATGTTTTTGTGTAACTTTTATCTTGGACCTGCCAGGTGTTAAGAAAGAGACTCCGAGAGAGGCCAGCTCCACCTCCCCATTCCTATAACCTAGCAGGTCCTAGCAGAGCTTGGTTATAGACTGAACAAGGTACTACTCAGGTTATAAAATAAAAGTAAATAAATAGTTTTCTTGGGGTTAAGGAAAAAGTACTAGCATGGACTCACCTGAAGAATTAATTCATGCCAACCCCCCCCCCCCAGATAATTCGGGTCCTGTTAGAGCAGGCCCTAGATTAACCTACTTACTTTTCTCTCTGTCTCTGTCTCTCTGTCTCTCTTTTTTCTTTTTTGGTGGGAGGGAACAGTTGTTTAGTCCCCCCCCCAGGCAATTTATACAAATTTAGGTAAAGGACAATGAGAAGTAGGAGACAGGGAGAAGCAATCAGGAGTACATAGGGATACCCCTCCTTTATCCCAAATTCTAAAGCGAAAGGCATCAGCAGGTTAGGGGCTATCAGTCTGTGAAAATCTGTTTGGTGTGCTTTACATTTCATCCTAAACCACTTGCTGGCTGGCACTTGGAGCTGAATGTGTGTATGTGGGAGGGGGGTGTGCACATTTGCCTGTGGATGGGGTGGGGGGGGAGGAATTGCTTAATCCTTTAGGTCTACTTTCTCCTCTCTCAACGGTCCCCTGGAGACAACAAAACATGTTGTCTATAGTATGAGGAAGCAGGGCCAACAATTATCTGGAGTTATTTTATGTAATTGAGTGAATTAGGGGCCTGATCTGACTGTAGCCCCTATCATCTTGAGGCCATTGCCTTTGGGCAGGAAAAGGGGGGGGGGGGGGTAACTGTGCTTAGAAAAAGAGAAAGAAGGTCTGAGTGGTAGACCAGGGTATCTTTTTTAAACCTGCGAAAGAAGATGAGGTAGAAATAACTTCAGATCCATAGTTCTTTCCTCAGTTTGCTGCTTTGAAGAGATGAAAACAGGAGGGGGAATGGCTACATTTTATTTAAGTTTCTTCATGACTTACTGAAAGGGATTCTTCAACACTGGAAAACTAGCTTAAAGGGGCTTGGATATTTATTTTATTTCCCTTTCTTTACCAGCTGCTAGGTTGTTTTTTGTTTATTTTCTTGTCACACATACATAATTATTTGCTATGTGTCTCTTTCTGTCCTTGATCAGAAGGGGGGGGGGGAACATGAGAAGTCCATAAATTCTTGACAAATGAAACAAAATTTTAATCTTCTATACTTGCATTTTTGAAGATTTTAGCCTCTGACTGCCAATGAGCTTGCTTTCTTGCTGTTTTCCCAAAGCTTTCCTTTGCTTTGGGGCTGACCACCCAGAAAAGAATCTAGCTCTCTAGGCAGGCATGAGGTGAAGTGTGTGTGTGTTGGTGTGTGGGGGGGGGGGACTCCTAACCTATAATGGGGCCCCAAGCTCAAACAGTCTGGTGTCTAATACTCCTCCTCTGGATGCTTCTACAGCCTCACTGGGAAGCTGAGGGCCAGGCTTTTATTGAAGTTGTGTTGAGCAGTGGGGAAAGACTGGGGTGGAGGGGGAGGACACAGCCCAGGTTCACGGGGAGGACACAGCATTTTCTCTCCCATTGCCTTTATATTCAGCAGCGCCTCTGACCTCTCCCCCACCCCCATCTCCAACCCTCCCAAGCCAGTCCTTGCTCAGTCCCTGGTCTCCAGATCCTATGCCACTGCTTTTGTACGACTGGGGATTTCTTGCCCAGAGTTATGGGAGAGGCAAGGCGCATGAATGCCCGCAGCATTGTATCTTCAATGGCCAAGTAAAAAGAAGACCAGGGTCGAAATGGCGACACCCATCTTCTAAGGTCCTTTCCTCCAAGCACCTGGAGATCCCCATGGGCCCCCAAATTCCCTTGACATGTAAGTAGTTAGCACTTGATCTGTTCTGGGGTGAAGGGCACAAAAGTTTAGCTCTGTCTGCCACTTGATTTTTGTTTCAACTCCCAGTGTTTGGGAAGGAAGGCGGGAAATCCAATTGTGGATGGAGAGCATCTGCTTGGGGAAACGGAAGTTTCAGTGTGGAGTTTCTGTGTCTGGGGAGTAAAGAAACTTAGCTCAAAAAGGAAAGCGAGAACTTAGGAGAGCCTGAGACTTGAGGGAAAGATTTGTATCTCTGAGAGTTTCTCACTGTTGTTTATATATGAAGTTTCCTACAAAAGTTTTCTCTGTACTCTTTCTTCCTGCAAGATTGAAATCCAGAGATCTCTCCTTTGATCTCTCTGTGATAGTGTGTGTGTGTGTGTGTGTGTGTGTGTGTATACACGCACAAAGAGGTTGTGCTGGAGCTTGTGATCAGGGTACGCTCTACTAGGGAAGGATTCTCTGCTTTTCTAAGATTCCAGGGCCCTAAAGGAGGACTAGCAATCACAGGCAGATCCTTTTCCTCCAGTTTTGTTTCCCCTGACCCCAAACTTGATCTAAGGGGAGCTTGGTATTGTACTCACAAAGCCACTTCTCCAGGCTGTCCACATTTTCTATCTGGTACCCCATCGTTAAAGAGCTGGTTGTAGTTCCAAAGCTTTTCTTCCCAGCAAACCTTCTTAGGCTTAGCAAAAAAGATGGAGAATCTCCCTAACTTCAGTGGCCACCAGAACAGAAGGAATATTTATTACCTTTCTGGCTGTCATTACCTAAGAATATGATTTTATGAACTTCCTAATCTGTTAGTTTGATTTATCTAGATGGGCAAAAGCCCAAAATAAACATTTGGGGAATTTGGTGGGGAAAATATAATAGTCTTTGCCTCTGACCAATCTTTCTGATAGAAATGGCCACATCTCCCAGCCTGCACCCCATCACCCCGTAGCTCTCCTGCAGCCTCTTGAGAATTAGAATTTAAAATGATAGGATGTGCTGTTTGAACCAGAGACTTATGGGACTTTCCCCCCAAATATCTTAAAACTCACAGGTCAGGGAGCTCCTTTTCCTTGGAGCAGAGAGAAATGAGAGCCAATGGAGTTTTGCTCATCTGCCCTCCAAGACCAGGAGCCCTTTCTCAGACCTGAATCTCCTTTCATTTCTCTACTTACTTTTTCTTTTCTTTTCTTTCTTTTTTTTTTTTTTTTTTGCTTTTCTTCTCTTTGACTCTGTGTTTGCAACATAGGCTCATCCAGCAAACCCCTCATCCATGGAAGCAGTGTGTAGTTCTAGCTTCCCGCTTCTTCCTCCCCCAGGCCCAGTGAATGAACTGGAAGGAAGGGAAGACAGGGGGGTGGGCAGAAGATCTCAGAGTGAGGGAGAAAGGGGAAGGGATTGTTTTAAATTTCCAGATTCCTTCAACAAGTGCCAGATTTGGTAATATATAGAGTTCTCTCCGCTCTGCTCTGCCTGCCCTGGAGGGGTAAGGGTCAGGCCAAAGGAAGTGTCATCTCTACTCACTCTTCATTTCTGACTCCTCTTACCAGCACCAGACACTTGGAGAGAAAAGTGTATGTAAATTTCAGCTAGGAGGAGTAGAAACTCTGAAACCCAGTATGTGGCAGGCACCTCATGAAACACTTACATACTACATTGCCGGCCTCTAAGTCACCGGGAAAAGAATCTGCCACCCCACTCCACCCCCCAAGAAAGGAGAGAGACTGATTTTATCTAGGGTCGAGGGTGTCAGTTCCTTATTTTGGAGTGGCAGGATCTGGAGGATCGGGAAATTGGGCCAATCCTGGCAAATGTGAGGTTCGGTTTGAAAGTATGCCTTCCCGCTGCTTCTCTGGCTGTCTGTGCCCAGGGGCGCGGTGTCGCCTTGGGCTGGGTCACGATCCCAGGCTACGATGGTGGACAATAGGGCGCAGGACCGGCGAGGGAGTGGGGCGTAAGAGGGTCTCGGGGTGCGTGGCCCGAGTAGCCGGTTCATGGCGCGGTGAACTCGGCGCGGCCCTTGGTTCCCAACCTCTTTCTCTGTCTTTCCCCTATTCCACCTTCCATTTTCTTGTTGAAAATGAAGCGGGTTTCCAACTGCTCCTCGACCCATAACCCTAAGAGACCACCTCCAAATAAGGAGATTTCATTTCCTTTAGAAATGATAGTTTCTTCTGAGTTACAAGAGCAAAAAAATGGAACCCTTGCAAAAATCTTTGCAGGGAATGGAGAACGGGGAAGATCTAGCCCTCAGAAGAAGCCTTCCTTTGAGAAGTATCCTCGGCTATCTGGATGGACCATAGTTTATCTGACTAACAGTTCTGGGCCAAGAATTCTGCTCCATTCACGGGGAAGGTGGGGGGGGGGGGGAGACAGTGGGGGAGGGATTGCCTTCTTAGATCCCCAGGTCTTTGTCCCCAGTGCTAGGCTAGGGTTAGGGTTTTTGTTTTTTTGTTTTTTGTTTTTTTTT